AAGCGCGCTGCTGGCAGCCTGCAGCAGCAGCAGCCTGCTGCGCGGCAGCAGCAGCAGCAGCCGCCTAGCGAGGAAGCTGTTGCTGCAGGGGGGCAGCACCTCAGCAGCTAGTATAACCCCCAGCTGCTGCAGCAGCAGCAGCAACGAAGCCTCGTTGCTGCCAAGGCACGATAAACATTCAGATCCTGCTGCTGCTGCTGTTGCTGTTGCTGCTGCTGCTGCTGCTGCTGCTGCTGCTGCTGCTTCACACGCATGCAGCAGAGCCGCTGCCTCCTCTGTCAACTGACAAACACACAACGACACAGCAAACCACAGATATACAGCAGCAGCAGCAGCAGCAGCAGCAACTGAAACACCAGCTGCTGCTGCAGTAGCAGCAGAAACAGCAGCATGAATGCGGCCCGGAAGCAAACGTAGCGTCAACAGCAGCAGCAGCAAAAGCAGTAGCAGCAGCACAGCATACATATCAGCAGCAGCTGCTGCAGCAGCAACAGAACTGTCGTCAACCGCACCACCAACAGCAGCAAAACAACAGCAGCAGCAGCAACAGCAGCAGCAGCAACAGCAGCAGCAGCAGCAGCAAGAACACCAGCAGCAGCAACAGCAGCAGCAGCAACAGCAGCAGCAGCAACAGCAGCAGACCTTGAGGGCGATAGAAAGGTGTTCTAGGAATAATGCTTTCCTCCGCTGCAGCAGCGACTCTGCTGCAGCAGCATGCAGCTGCTGCAGCAGCCCCTCGCCTTCTTGCTGCTCTTGCTGCTGCTGCTGCGCAGCAAATTGCTGCTGCAGCTGCTGCAGTTCCCCCACAAGTACAGCGAGCTGCTGCATGCATTCTGCTGCTTCTTCCAGTTCTTCTTGCTGCTGCTGTTGCTGCTGCTGCTGGTGCGCGTCACTGCCGCTGCTGCTGCTGCTGCTGCAGGTGTCGAGATCGAACTGCTGCAGTTGCTGCTGCAGTTGCTGCTTCTGCTGCTGCAGCTGCTGAAGCGCTCTGGGGATAGACTGCAGCAACGGATATTTCTGCTGCTGCTGCTGCTGCTGCTGCTGCTGCTGCTGCTCTTGCGGCTGTGTGGTCAGTTGCTGCAGCAAATCCATAGCCTCTGGAGAAAGCTTCTGCTGCTGCTGCTGCTGCTGCTGCAGCTCCGTGTCTACTCCGCTGGCTGTGAAGCTGTTGCTGCTGCTGCTGTTGTTGCTGCTGGTGTTGCTGCTGATCGCGCTGCTGCTGCTGCACTGTGGCGGCAGCAGCAGCATCTGTGCTGCTTCCGCTTCTGCTTCAGGCAGCTGCAGCAGCATGTCTTGGATTGGCCCCAGCCGCTGCTGCTGCTGCAGCTTTAGTTTGCATGCAGCAGCAGCAGCAGCTGCTGCTGCTGCTCTTGCTGCTTCTCTCTCCTCAGATGCGCAGCAGAGGCGCTGCTGCACCTCCACCCACGTAGGGCGTTGCTGCAGCTGCTGCTGCAGCTGCTGACGAACTGCAGCAGCAACACCATGATCTACACCCCACTGGTTTGCTGCTTTCTCCGCAGCAGCAGCAGCAGCAGCAGATGCTGCTGCTGCTGCTGCTGGTGTTGCTGCAGCAACTGCAGCAGCAGCAGGACGCAGCAATGCCGCATCCACAGACTTCCACCGCGACAGCACATCGCTCCCCCATCGCTGCTGCCGCCAAGTTTGCTGCTGCTGCTGCTGCTGCTGCTTCGGGTGCTGCAGCAACTGCTGCGCAGAGTGCTGCTGCTGAAGGTGAGGACTGTGGTGGTGCTGTGGATGCTGCTGCTGCTGCTGCTGCTGCTGCTGTGATGACGCAGCAGCAGCAGGCCTCTGCTGCTGCTGCTGCTTGCGGTGCTGCACTGCCTGGCGGAGCTCTAGGAAGGCCCCCGCATCAACCCTCTGCTGCTGCTGCTGCTGCTGCTGCTGTTGCTGCTGCTGCTGCTGCGCTGAGGGAGAACGTCCCTCAAGGAGAGCCGAAAGAAACATTGTGGGGGAGATGTGCTGCTACAAAGTCTGCTGCTGCTGCCGCTGCTGCCTCTGCTGCTGCTGCTGCTTCTGTTGCTGCTGCTGCGTCTGTTGCTGCTGCTGCTGCTGTTGCTCCTCCTTCGCCGACTGCTGGGATCATCAGTCAGCCGTTTTTATTCTGCTGCTGCTGCTGCTGCAATCGCTTTTTTTGTTGCTGCTGCTGTTGTTTCCGTGGCTGCGTACCTCTGAGGTGTATGTACACCCCAAAGTAGACAGACGCAGCAGCAGCAGCAGCAGCAGCAGCAGCCGGGCAGCGGCTGCTGGCAGCAACAGGCCGCGAGTTGAGCGTTACGCTGAGTGTGTCTGCTGCTGCTGCAACACGAGAGCAGCTAAGCAGCAGCAGGCTGTCTGTGCATGTCCTGCTGATTGTTTGT